TACAGAATAGCATGAGTCATCCCCCTAATTTCTTTTTGCTATAATAGAGATGCCTTTCAACTCCTCCTCCTTTATATTCCAATAAAGTTCTCCTAAGGTCTTAGAGATACTGACACCAGAGTTCCCTGGATACCCCTGTGTCCTACAGAAGCTGAAGAACATAAGGATTAAAGGGCTCATCTTTTATTTCTGTAAGGATTCTTCTCTGACACTTGTGAGAAATAGAGCAAATAATACCACTTACTGATCTTATTTAGCAGGAATAGGTTTTGCATTTGATGTTTCTAGTCTTGGTAAGTTAATGCCTCAATACCTGCTGTCCTTCCCATCATCCAGACAGGGCTAAGCACACAAAGGAGAGGCCATGAAGACACAGGTGATCTGGTTTTGCAAGTAGCTACCTAAGTAGGAATATTGCAGATGCTGCAGAGTTGTGACAATTGCACTCTGAGCCCCAGGGTGAGAGCTGTGATTATAACATTAGGTAAGAGTTACCAAGCACATGGTGTGTCCCAAACTCTGAGCAAAGTACTTTATACACACTCAGGAGAGCAGATTTTCCTTAACAAAAAACAAAATCTAAATTGCCTAGGTTTAAATCTTAGCACCATGCCTTATTAGTCATTTAATCTTTAATGAGTTAGCTAATCCTTTGGTGCCTCAATATTTTCATCTGTAAAATGGAAATCATAGTTGAACCTGCCCCAGAGAGTTGTTAGAAATAGATGAGCTGGAACCAGCAGTTAGCGTAATGGCTATGTCGCTGGACTCCCACGTAGTCGACCGCGGTTCGTGTCCCGGACCCGGTGGCTTAAAACTCACGCCGGGCGCGTGTGCGTGCGTGCCCAAGATCCCGAGAGGAGAATGGAGGAGAAGGGATTGCGGCGTGACCATCCCCCCTGGGGGGTGATTTCTCGCTTTCTGTCTCTATGTCTCTCTCTGTCTGTCTGGCGAGCGCACGCGCCCTACAGTGAAAATCTCTCCAAAAAAATAAATAAATAAATAAATAAAAAAGAAATAGATGAGCTAAAAGATGGAAGTTCTTGAAACAGTGACTGGATATGGCAAGGGGAACATGAGTGTTAGCTTTTATCATTACATTATTCCACTCAGTCACTTCAATAACCCTAGGAAGGAGGTATTGTTATTATTCTTCATTTTTAAGTCTCTTTACTCATTTACTTATATCTTGAGAGAAAGAGACAAGCATCCCTAACAGAGTCTCCCACTTCAGTCTCTCAAGGCTTCCCAGACAGCCAAGGCATGGGAACAAGTGCATGCGCTCGCTGTAGACAGGTCAACCTGGGAGCTGAAGCTCGATCTTCCACATGGTTTCCAGCACTGCAAAGCATTATGCTACTGCTGTGCCATCATGGCTGGCCCCATCCCTAATTTTACAGCTAAGACAGTGGAGACTCTGAGACACCGAATATCTTATTCAAGACACTCAAGAGAAAGCAGTTGATCCAGAATTTTTAAAAAATATTTAATTTTATTTATCATTATTATTTTTATTTTAGAGATTTTTGCTACAGATCACGAGCACTTGCCAGAGAGACAGAAAGCAAGAGATAACCCTCCAGGGGGGATAGCCATGTCACGATCTCCTCCATTCTCCTCTTGGGATTTTGGACACACATGCACACATGCCCAGAGTTAATTTCAAGCCTTTGAGTCCAAGAGTCCAACTGTGGTCAACCACATGGGACCCCAATGCCTAACTCAATATGTCACTTGCTGGCCCTTCCTTATTATTATTTCTTAATTTGCTATAGAACTTGCATGAGAGAGAGAGAGAGAGAGAGAGCGAGTGCAAGCCACCGGGTCTGGGACTTTAACCATGGTCAGCCATGTAGAGGTCTAGAGCCTCAACCATGGCAACGGTTGGCCCCTCTGATCCAGAATTTAAGCTCACTCTTGTTATATTCTGCTACCTGTCTTCTAAAGCACATCAAAACAAATCAATCTCTGATAGAAAAATTGATTTCCAATGAAAATATGGTGAACTGTATCTAAAATCTGGGGCATGTCCCTGACTTTTGTTGAGTAAGGCAGTGTGGTTTTCATACTGGACTGCCTAATAGCATTATAACAGAAATGATTTGTTGTTGTTTAATCCAGGTTCCTAGCTCTTCCCTTCAAGCTCTTCTCTTGAGGTCCGTATTTAGGATATTCAGGATGGTTTTAATAACTTCCCACATGATCAGATGATCTGCCATGTTTGGGACAGGGCACTCAGTGGTGGTGGGGTTCATCCACATCTCTGAGATGGATGATCTTATGAGCTGCCAAAGGCAACTTTGTACCCAGGCCAAGAAGCCCTGGCACCCATGGCAGATGTGCCTCCCACTAACCACTATATGAGGTATCTGTAGAAGAAGCCCCTTTGTCTAAAACCAGTTCTGTTCCTCCAGTTGGAAGTTCAGTGAACAGGTCCATCTCCCCTCCCAGTCGGGCCCAGGTGCTGGTGGAATGGCATACCAAATAGACGAGGGCAGACTAGTTCAGACACAGACTGCAGTGGGCACACTTATCTGTCCCCGTGGTTTAGGGGGTGCCAGTTCTCTCTCATACACATACCCCTGCTGAGCTGTTCCAAAGTCGCTAGTCAATTAACTGTCAATTTATGTCAAGCGTGACATCACCTCACAGCAGCCCTGACTCACAGATCCCTCTGTTGTTTCTAAAACATCTCATTTTCCTCCCACTTTCTCCTTCTGGTGCCAGGCAGTTTGCATTGTCTCATTGTTCCCTTACTGGCAATCATAAATTCTCAGTGTCTTCCTGGAACCCAAAGAGCTCAGGGAAGTGGGCTTCACCATCAGGGTCTGACCCTTTAATACTCTAACTCAGACACA